TCTTCATTGGTAACATCTGGTAGCTCTATGCTGACAGACCATCCAATAACTGAGGCTTGGGAGCAGGGGTAGTACTTATATCCCCATAAGGATTTGTCTGGGAGCAAGCTCTCAGGCTTGGTTGGAAGGCTTCTAATAATGAAGCAGAATACGAGGCACTGTTAGCTAGTTTACACAGTGCTGAACACTTTAGTGTTGAACAACTCCTGGTTTTCAGCGATTCTCAATTGGTTGTCAACCAACTCACTGGGGCTTATGAAACACGAGATGAAAGAATGGCCATGTATGTAGACTGGGCAAGGGATCTACTTAAAAAATTCCAATCCATACGAGTGGAACGAATCAATTGGGATAGAAACAGTCACATTGATGCTCTGGCCTACCTCGGCTAATCAGTAGATGCCAAAGATGCTAAAAAGGTTTGGGTTGAGTTTGTGCCAGAACGAAGCATTGCAACTCCAGTCCTCTGCAATAACCTAGAATCGAGCTAGTTGGATCTGATACTTGTTTTTTCTGAAAATTGGCACTCTCCCCGAAGACAAGAAGGAAGCCAACAAAGTTCGACACGGATCAGCTTAGTTTTGGGTCTCACCATCTGGGAAGCTGTACCGACACTCTTACCTCGGTCCTTATCTGTTATGCGTGCATCCAAATCTAGTCAAAAATGTTCTTTACAAAATTCACGATGGGATTTGTGGATGCCACGTTATTGGAAGGTTATTGGTGCACCGAGCCCTCACTCATGGGTACTGGTGGCCAAGAATGCAGCAAGATGCACAGTAGTACGTTCAAAAGTGTGACAAGTGTCAGAGGTTTACTCCACTAATTCGTCAGCCAGCCAAAACTCTTACTCCACTCACTAGCTTGTGGCCCTTTACCTAGTGGGGTCTGGATATCGTTGGACCATTGGCACGGGGCACTGGGAACAGACGATTCTTCATTGCTGCAACCAACTATTTTACCAAATGGGTTGAAGTTGAAGCACTGGCAAGCATCAAGGAAGCAAACACAAAACGGTTTGTCATGAGGAACATCATGGTCTATTTCGGCATCCTGCGGGTACTGATTGCAGACAATGGAACACAGTTTGACAGAAAGATCTTCAGGAAATTTTGTGCCGACCTCAGGATCGAATATCGGAACTCCTCTCTGGGCTACCCACAGAGTAATAGGCAGGCAGAGGCGTCAAACAAAACCATGGTACTCGAAGTAAAGAAGTGGCTCGAAAGTGCAAAAAGGAAATGGGTTGAAGAGTTACCCCATGTGTTATGGGCCTACTGAACCACGGCATGGGTTGTTGGTTTACAGGCTAATTTAGTAACTTTTTGGCTATTTGGCTAAAAAGGTAGGTAAAAAAAACTTGTATGTTTGGGTTGACTTTTTGGCTAATTACGAAAAGATGTGCAAAAAGTAGAGAGAAAAGAGAATCTTTGACTTTTTGGTATGAGTTGTTGGCTTTTTGGCTAAAATGATAACTTTTTGGCTTTTTGACTAAAAAGGTAAGTCCCCAAACGGGGCCTAAATATTAAAACTCTTCTTTTGTGCCCCCTTTTTTATTTTTATTGTCATTAGTCCCTTTCTTGTTACAAAAATTATTGTGCCCCCATCCTGGTTGGATAGACAACGGATGTAATATAGGGTATGCAGTTTCAGCCTCAGTTTGTAATTGTTGGTTTTGTACTTGAAATATTTTCTTCTTATGATGAGGATTTTTTTTTTTTAAATTTTTTTTACGCTTTCATTGTGCAGATTCATCAAACGTTTTGGACTCCTCTAGTGATTCATCGAACTGAAAGTTTTGGACTGGTGATTTTGTATGAAGTTCCTAATGCTCGTGTAGATGATGCTTTAATTATTGTTTACCTAATGACTAGAATCTACATTCTCCGTACTTTCCTATCTATTCAAGTATTTCATTTTTTTGGATGTTTCCTGAACAATGTGGTATTTTTGTGTCAATATTTATGTTTCTAAAGAACTATTTGGGGAGAACATCCTCAGAACATCAGTTGTGTGGATTTTTGGGCATATTAATTTTTCTACAAGTGCTTTATAATGAAATTATGTTCAGAATTGAAGTTGGTAGTATTGTTTGTTTATGTGGTGCTTCGCTGTACTGTTATTGCATAATCATCTTTGACGTCTTTCGTAGCCTTATTTTAGCTACGGTTTGAATCCATCCTATACCAGTCAGTATTGCAGGTGGCCTTCTTTCCCCCCCACTTTTTACATGAAGGTAACATTTCTCAAGATTTTTTTTTGGTTTGTTTTGCTTTTCCTTCTTTATTGTTCACCTCCCCAGGGCGGGGTGTAAGGTTCAAAAATTTCCTATATATTTGATGATGGATGGTTCAAGACATGCTTAACTTTAAGGGATGAGAAGTTATGAAAGCAAAACACATGAATGAATTGGGAGTGTTTCCAAATTAAGTATTTGCATTTTTATTATTACCTTGATTTCTATCCCCCTTTCATACTAAAATTACCTACAATGCATAGTTTCTCCAACTAATTAGTGAGTATTATTGTCTCAAATCAGATTTTGAACCCCTCTCAATTTCGTATTGAGAACATAGAGCTTTATTATAATAATTTTGGCTTCACACCTTGCAAATGAAAAATAATTGCAATTTGTGATTTTATGGCAGTGACTCTTAATTAAATTTGTAATTTTCACATACATATATTATTATTCAAATGTCATCTATTTATCTAGTTATTTATTCCAATATCACCTATTTGTACACGTGATACCTATCTATTTACAAATTTGTCCAATATCACTTAAACTTTGTTCTCTGTCTTTTGGTGTCAACCCTCTCATGTTCTTGGTGTCAACCCTTTGTCGTTGAATGACTTAAACTTTGTTCTCAGTCTTTTAGTGTCGACCCTGACATATTCTTGGTGTCGACCCTTTGCTGCAGAATAGCCAAAGCTTTGCTTACTGTTTTTTGGTGTCGACCCTATCATAGCTTAGTGTCGACCCTTTGACTTGTTTTAACCAAGACTAACATTTGCACAAGTATACATATTCTTTTGTTTTGAGGTACCAACACTTGTGAGAATATAATAATTTAGAAGCATACATCTTTGAAGAGCAAAGATATGGGAATATTTTGAAAATTTTGAACAATTAAATAAGCTCAAGATATTTGTCTTAATTAAAATATAAATAACTTCGGGGCTAACACTTTTCAACACACGCAACAGGCAACTGTTAATTTGTTGAAGATGAACCTCACCTTAATTAATAGAGGTGATTCTGCTGAAGGAAGAAAAAAAAAAAACAACAACAAAGACCCATTCTCCATCAATCTCTTATTCTCTATTCTATCAATCTCTTATTCTCTATTCATTCTGAAGAGTTCTCCATCTGGTTTTTGAGTTACAGTTTGAGAGATAAAATGAAATTCCAAATAAAATTTGAAGTCACATCAACAAATTCTGTCTGATTTGAGATAGTAATTGACGCAAAATGGGAAATTGATCCAAAATTCAATAGTTTAAATATAAAATTAATATAATAAAAAATATAAGGGTTAAATTGATTTTTAAATGAGAGCTTTGATGACAAAATGACATTTTTTGAAAGGTTTTTGATAGGTACCAACAAGTTGTCTAAAGACACCATTTCAAATAACCCAGTGTGGAAATTTGTATTTTCAAAGTTTGGTTTAGTAAATAAGGTCTTGATTCCATGAGACTTTCTGTATGCAACAACTCAAAAATATATATTGCAGCAATTTATTTTATTGCTAACATAAAAACCAAGCGAGAATCCCAATTCAAAACCCCAACAATTCCTACTACCTACATAAATGAAATACAATGTCCTAATTGAAGAAAAAAGTTTCAATTGCATCCTTACAACCTTAGAACCAAATAAACATACAAGCAATGTCATGAGTTATGTCAATCAATAAATCTAACTTAAAATAGTCTTAATACAAATATATATATATATATATACATTAAAAGGAAGATTCAAAACCTGAACATTTTACATTCATCAGTAGTATCTAAACATATTCAATACGTTAACAATAATTATCTTAAAAAAAAAGGAGCAACTAGTAACAAAACTATTGAATCAAATAAAATTCCTACAACTTTTCACAGTTGTCCACTAACATGAAATCGTCCATTAACCATACTTAAAATTACTTGCACTTCCTCCCTGTTGGGTTGTTCCAACAACATTGGTGCATCCGGGTAAATTGGTTGAGGGATGCCATTATAGCCAAACTCATTAATGAGTGTGACTACGGATTCTACATCATTTGCTCTCATTATCGGAAGACAATGCTCACTAGCTAAATGAGCACCGGCTGAAACAAATGCCCTATTGCTTCTAATTAGCAACTCCCTTCGTTGTTGTAGTTCATCCAGTGCATGCAAAAATTGTAGAAAAAGATCATGTGCAGCAATTAACTCGTTCCTTGATTGTTGATCTGCCTCAATATGTGACCTAAATATTGCAACTCTGTGAGCATTTGCTGCATTTTCGATATCTAACCATGGAGCTGCATTTGGGAATAACATTATATCCATTGGGTAGATTGGCGTTCCTGTCCAACCAAACTCTTCTATAAACCTAGCAATGTATTGCACATGAAGTTCTGTGACGACCGGGATTTTTGGCTTTTGAACGAGCAGCCTACCCAAGTTATGGACCGACCTTGCCGCACGTCTTAGATGTGCTTTTGAATCTAACCAAAAACCATGAATTTGTCCAAATTCTATAAGTCGCAAATATCCATTCATTTGTTGTTGAAATTCCATTTACTGTCAACAATAAAACAACAGTCAATACAAAATTAAATAACAATTAAACCAAATAATTATTTGTTACTAAATATTAACATTTCACTGCACATTTGAGAAGAGAGTGTCAAAAAAAGTATTACCTTCACAAATAAACTAAAATTACATTTGATTTCTTAAAAAAAAAAAATTCTATATTTGAGGTGAATTTACCATTCCAGTTAAAATGAAAAACAAGTATTCATAATTCTGCAATTTCATCAAAAGAAAAGTTTGTTTCATCGTTTGAGCACCACCTTCATCAAGCATATGCTTTCCCCCTAGAAAATGAATCCCCCAACAAAATGACAAGAAATGTAAACAGAACCGGGAAAAAGATTGCAATGAGATCAACTTTTTTAATTTTTTTTTACTAATAGTGTCTTGCTATCAATTAGAAGCAAACAAATAAATTGACACATTTGCCACTGCCGTACTATCAATTAAAAGCAAACAAATAAATTGACACATCCACTAGTGCCCTTGCTATCAATTAAAAACAAACAAGTAAATTGGCACACCCGTCAGTGTCCTACTATCAATTAAAAACAAACAAATTAATTGACACACCCGCTAGCTAGTGCCAAGCTATCAATTAAAAGCAAGCAAATACACTAGCACACCCGCCAGTGCAACGGCTAGGGGTAGGGAGTTTTATCTTTTACTTGTACGTAAGTATGATGAAATTGAGGACTTGCAACAAAAGAAAACATAACATGAACGTGGAAGTTAGTAAAAATAAGACAATGCTTAAGGAAATTTAAGATTATAGGGAGAACGGGAAGAGTCTTATGTGCTAGATGTTGTAGCACTTGTGTCCTTTAAACTATTGGAGAGTGTATCTAATTCTTTTATTTTCATTTTGGTAGTCTTTGGAGTTGTTGTATCTTGGTTTTGGAGGAATACAATTCGATTTAGACTTGTTGGGATTGTTCAATCGTGCTTGCTTTCGTTGAAAACTTCTTTGGAAACTTGGAAATTTTGTTCTGCTATTGACACTAGTCTTCCTGAGGATCGACACCACCTTGCTGCCTTGCTCTTAGTGTCCCTGTTGGTTTATATATAGGGTCGACACCACAGGTACCAAGGTCAACCCTTGTCTAATGCTGTCTCCTGGGTGCTGCTACTGAAATATAGGGTCGACACCACTGGTTCCTAGGGTCAACCCTTGTTTGCTGCACACATTAGTGTCTCAGCTTTTCTTCTTGAGGGTCGACACCACTGTCTTGAGGGTCGACCCCCTGTAAGTTATTTTTAGAAATTTTGGTTCGGTTTTGGGCCTAACTTTTTGGGGTTTGACTTATTCTTTTCTTTGACTTTAGGGCTATTATTCTACCACTATAAATAGACCCCAAACACACTTTTCTCATTCACTTTTTCTTTTCTCTCTCTCTTCTCTCTTTAAACCGTGAATCTCTCTCTCTCTAAAACTCAACTTTTCTTACATAGATCTCTAGATCTACTTGGTTAGAGGCATTTTTTCACCTTGGTCCTTTGAGAAAGATTGTAGATCTTGTCAAAGGCTTTCTTTTTATCCAAGAGTTTCGTTGTTTCATTGACTTTGAGTTTTTTTTCTGAGTTCTCCTCTTCGCTTCAAGAGGAAGGGTCTATTTCCTAAACTCAATGTGAGTTCGGTAGCATATTTGGGACGTATTTTGTTATTTATATTTGGTAGTCATTTGGTTGATTTTGGAATGTTATTTTGGGCTTGAGGGTTTGTACAAATTGGGGGTTGTTTTGATTATGATTTTGCTATTAAATCCATTTTTGGTAAACAAACTTGCATTTGATTTTCTAAAAGAGAAAAACCCCAATTTGTAAGAAAACCCTAAATGCTATTGTTTTGGGAGTTACAATTATTTTTGGTAAGTGGTTTGGTTGGAAATAGATAGAAAGGGAATGATTGTTGGATTTTGAAACAATGGGTGTTATTACTCTTTTGGAAAAATATATCTATATAGTTATCTTTTAACTATCGCATTAGAGATAACTGTTTTGGCTATCCGTGGAGGTTAACATTGCCGTGTGTTAGAAATTGCTTGTGGATTAGGCAAATTCAAATCATTCATATCATGGAGCATGTAATGGATTTTGGAAATTGAAACTATGGCCTTGTTTGGTTTGTGTTTCTCAAAAAATTTTGAGAAAAATTCTCTACAAATAAGTTTTCAAAAGTAATCAAAGCAAACAAATTTTCCTAAATTTTTTTTCCAAAACTTGTTTGGTTTACAAATTTTCCAAACAAATCTCTCTCTCATACACATCAAATCAATCACTTTTTCCAAAACTCTCTCAAAATAATTTTTCAAAACATCTTTTGAAAAAAAAAACCAAACCAAACAAATTTTCGTACTTTTTATCTCAAAACATGTTTCTCAAATACAAACCAAACAAGGCCTATATGTTTTGGAAAGAAGTTTTGGAAATTCTCACAGTATGTTTTGAAACATTTGCATTGTTTTGGAAAAAAAATATTGAGTTACATGTATTGTACTATTGAAAAGGGTAAATAAAATGATGAATCTGGAAAATAAGTATTGTCTCGTTGAAATAAGTTGGCCTAAGTGTCCATGGTGAAAGTCCTAAAACCCATGCCTATACATGGGTGCCAATCCCACGGACGAAATTTTTGTGAAATGGCAATAATAGTGCTTGTATAACCTACGTTTACATGGGTGCCGATTTACAGTTTCCTATGGACAAAATTTCTTTGAAAGGTTGTATTTGTTTTGGAGATTTACCTATTTTATTTACTATTATGTTGGTTTTGGAACAGGACATTTGGAAATGTTTTGAGCAATGTATTTGTTTTTTGTTCTGCGATGTAGTCACATTTGAATTAGCAATGTTTTTGCTGGTTGGTATTGAGATACTTGAATTGGTTTTTTGGAAAATGATCTTATATCAAAGAGATGATTTAAACTCGGAAAACAATTTGATTAAACTTAAGGTTTTGGTAATTGGAAAGATACGATTTTGTGGAGAAATCAAATGGATTTGAAAATGCATTTGGGCATATTGTATATATGTATTGCATCATGATCATTTATGCTGGTGGAGCAGGTTTAGTTTTTGAAATATTCTCTACTGGGCTTTATGCTCACCCTACGTGGCTGAAAATGTTTTTCAGGTGTACATGTGTAGATGTGAACTGCAACGTGAAGATTGTTCGAAACCATATAAGGTGGTTTAGTTATTTGTAGGCCATGGGCCATTTATGTTATTTATTGGCCGTGTGCCATTCTTGTAAAGGTTATACCCTTGTGTCTGATTTAAGCCTCAGGGCGTTCAATTTAGGCCAAGTTTGGCAACTCTTAAAAAATCCAAAAAGTCAAAAAATCACTATCCTATTTAAATCACATCATCTTATTTAAGTCACATCACCTCTCTAATACATCACTTCAAACCGAACCCAAACCCAACCCATATTTCATAAAAAGTCAAAAAGTGCACTTATTTAGTCTTCCCAAACTTGGCCTTAATTTATAACATTTGTATATATTTTTAGTTACAGAACATTCATTCGACTTAGATGTTGTATTTAGAAATGTATAAAACTGGATAAACACATGTATTGTGTGACTATATTATATTCATTTGCATGAGAGTTGTTATTTACTGTTCATTTATTCTCAAATTTTTTACCAAATTGACCCCAAAAAAAATCATTCATAATTGAACAACATATAGCGCATACACCCTAAGAACCTAAATTTCATGGCAAGACAACACAACTCAAATCCTCAAAAGAAAAAAAAAAAATATATATATATATATATATAGTAATTAAACAAGTAGATATCAAACTACCAAAAAAAAACATATAAAATTCTCACTTCAAAATATTTGGCCTAATGGTTGAGCCACCTATGCAATCAACCAAAGAAAATCAATAAATACATACCCCAAGATCAATTCAAGGGGGTTCCATCAACAAAAACATAACAAACAGCCAAAGTTGAGCAAAATGAAAGAAAAAGGCTTTGATTAAAAGTTGTTGAATTTTATTTTTGTTTTTATAATATAAATGGGTTTTTTTCCATAAGCCTATAATATGAAACTCCAATATTCAACATAAAATCCAGTTGTATGAAACTCGAATATTCAACATAAAATCCAGTTGTACTTAAAATTGATCGAGAGACTAAACAAGCCACAATATGAGCATTATGAATCCACTAATTCCAAGAGAATGATTATAACATCAAACAGAAATAAATCACAAATTGCCAAAAAACACCAAATGAATCCCAAACCGTAGTTTCGCTTCTGCACAGAAATTGAAGCCAAGACCCAAAACCCAAAGCCCTAGTTTCATGATGGATTACCTGAGAGGGCGAGATTCGATCTTTTTCCTTGGTCGGTGATGAGAGAAAACCCACTCCGGCGGCGTCGGTTTGAGAGAGAGAGAGAGAGACGTGAGCAGTGAGAGGGAGAAGTTGGCTTTCGATGCGCGGTGGTGTGGACTCCGGCGTTGAGATCCAAAAAGACTTTACTTCAGAGCGGGAATCTTCCTACAAGTGAGCACCAACTCAAATGTGTTAAAAAATGGCTATACCTCCGCCTTCAGTCTGATTCACCGAATCTGTTTGAGAGAGAGAGAGAGAGAGAGAGAGAGAGGGAGAGGGAGAGGCGTCTCAGAGAAAGAGAGAAAGGAAGGAAAGAGGGTCAATTTTCTTGAATTTTGAATGCTGCGACGTAATTCGGACAAGTCGGGCTAAGAAATTTGTGTGGAACAATCTTTTTTCTTAGGAAAAGTTTGGAATTCCAAAATTAATTTATTCACAAAAGAGTATATGGAGTATATGTGGTGTAGGGGTGGCCACGTTTGAGGTGAGTGGCATCTCCCGCTCTTGCCCCGTTTTAAAAACCCGTCCCTACCCTTGCTCCCACTCCCATCCCACTATGGATGGAATTTTTCAATCTTATTTCTGCTCTTGTGGATATTCGCAGATATCCGATCATATTTTAAATAGTTAAAAAAATTGATAACTATTTAAATTTTTAACACACTAAAAAATTCTCTTGTTCCCATATATATATATATATATATAAGAGTAGATATCATTTTCTTCCCTAAACTATCACACGTTTTTCACGTTGACTCCCATATTTTAATTTATTTCAATTTAGTACTTGAACTTTTCACAAATTAATCAATTAGACCCATGTCGTCCACAATTAGACGGAATGTACTAATGTGGGGGGCTAATTGATTTTTAAAGTATAATTTGAGGGGCAAATTGATTTTTAAGGTATAGTTTGGGAGTAAAATGAAATTTTAAATGTCACGTCAACACATTCTATCCAATTGTAGATGGAAGGTGATAACAGGGGTCTAATTGATCAATTTGTGAAAATTTCAATACTAAATTGAAATAAATTGAAGTATGGGGGTCAACGTGAAAAACGCGTAATAGTTTGGGGGGACAAAATGATAGTTTCTCTGTATATAAACAGTGAGACTTCTAGAATTATTATCTTTTATATTTAAACAAAATTACAGACTTTTAATATTCATTTCTTATATCTATATATATATACTAATATTTATTTATTTATATATCTATACTATTATTAAATGAAAGTCAAAATTGATTTAGTGAAACATTCTTCTCCTTATGCCACGTGACAACTTTATATATGCTAAAATAAAAAAATAAAAAAAATTGTTATACACAGTGTAAAGTCTTGAATCCAAAACCTTGAGTTTTATTAAAAACATATTTATCACTTAAGCAACATACATATTAGAGATTTTTATGGATAAGTCCAATTTAGAAGTGTTTTAACCCAAGAAGTTCATGAAGGAATTTTTTAACCAATTTAGTCTCATGTATGTATAGTTTTATTCCATTATTATTTATTTTTATTATTAATTATTTGAATTGCACGCGCATCGCGTGTGTCGCCCGCTAGTATTATTAATTATATCGGGTCGGATTTGGACTGGCGGACGCAATACCCGCCTCCACCCCACCCCATTGTGAGTGGCCAAAATATAATCCATTCCCGCCCCACATAAGTGTCGAGTCTGGTAAAATCCGAGATACAGAGAAAGGAAGGGTAGGAAAGGAGAAATTATTGGGTGCTCTTAGAACACCAAGTCACCATTGACTGATGGTGCTCCAAGCCAATCAAAGTGCACGCCATACAAGACCTTTGCCAATAGATCTAAGAACTCAGCATCTTATCTCACCATCTTTAATAAACTATTAATTGACTTTCACAGGAATGGTCACAACCTAGGTTTGGGATAGACTTGTTGTGATCCACACTCGTCCCATTTTATATCGGGGTTAGGACTAATCGGAGAATGTCGATGGCGTTGCAGGTGTGAGACAGCTGACAGGTTAATTTGATAAGTTCAATAATGAAAATATTAATAAAAATTATATGTACTATTGTATATTGTGGAAAATAATTTATACTTAAAAACAATTATAACATATAAGATAGAAATTACTATTACGTATAATATTTTGGTGTTTTAATTTTACTATAGTGAAACAAAAATTAAATTATATATATTCTACACATAAATATATTTAATAAGTATACTTGGGGTGAGGCCGAATAGAACAGCCCGGGGAAAGAAAAACCCGTCCCCACTCCACTTCCTCAACGGGGCTGAAAAAATCTGAGCGGAGGGGGGCGGAGGATGCGAGTACAGAGCGGAAGAGGAGAACACCCATTGTTGTTGGCTAGGATGTTCCAGCAAGGTTTGTTGCTTGTTAGGCTGTTACCAGATGACTTGGATGTGCACAACTTTGTACCTTGCAAAACACAAAGATAATAGTGGGCTGTTTGTTCCAGCTTTAACAATTCCAATTCATCAGAAACAGGGGAAAGCAAGTGATGAACTGAAACAAAGTTTCACATAGTGAAATTGTTGCGTTCGGGGGCTACACTCGGAGGTTATATTTGGTTGATTAGAATCGTGCTAGATGGGAATGGATTGACGGTTGGAATGGATTTGGAATAGGATGAGATGGGAATAATCATTCCTATTCCAATGTTCGGAAATAACATAGGAATCAATGTAAGAATGGAATTGCCATGCCAAGTCCTATGTAATGATGATTGTAATGGAATGGAATGAAATGAAATTTGTAATAAATTGGCCAAAATACCCTAATCTTATGATGTGAGTGAGTGGTGGTAGTGGATGGTAGTGGAGGTGGTGGGTGGTAGTGGAGATGGTAAGTGTGTTAGGTTTAGTGGGGTGGATGTAGTGGGTTAGGTTAGTGGGTTAGGTTTAGTGTACATTAACAGAATGAAATGAAATTTGTAATAAATTGGCCAAAATACCCTAATCTTATGATGTGGTGAAATTGCAATGATGATTGGAATGGAATGAAATTTGCAATAAATTGGCCAAATACCCCATTCTTATGATGTGGTGAAAATGCTGGGTTTGGAGGCTACACTCTTCGGTTATGTTTGATTGATTAGAATAGTTCTAGAAGGCAATGGAATGATGGTTAGAATAGATTTGAAATGGAATGAGACGGATAGTCATTCCTATTCTGGTGTTTGGAAATAACATAGGAATCAATGTAAGAATGGAATTGCTATTCCAATTCCTATGTAATGATGATTGGAATGAAATGAAATTTGTCGTAAATTGGACAAAATACCCTAATCATTATTTTTTATACATATTTTTAAAAAAATAAAAAAAATTAAGAAATTTTGGACATAAAGACCTGTATTTTCAAGCTACACAACACATGATTTGCACCTGTATTGATAAATTACCATTACCCAAAACGTAACAAACTTAAGCATCACATCTATTATAAAAATTCAAGTAGTAATCACCCAACAATTCAAAATTAATAGCATGCACAAAATAGCATCATCCAAGTAAGAAGATCGAATCCATCAAAAAAAGAAAAAGAAAAAAGTAACAAAATCCAACACATTAGCTAGTATCAACTAAGAAATAAACAGGAATAATAATAATGGACATAGAGATCTCCATTAAGTAAAGCCTTCACAAATTATTCTTTCTCATCATCTTCCAAGGTGAAGAAGCAAGCAGTAAACTCATGATCACATGCTATAGCAAGCATGGCTCCGCAGCGCTCAACCCTCTATAGATTGGAAAGCTTGCAAAGCTCCTCGTTGATTTTGTCCCTCTTCAAAGCTATATCCAAATCCACACCTAGTGCTCGACTGAATTTATCTGTTGCTTCTTCAATCTTGGTGCCAATAATCATAGCTGCTTCACGAAAGGCATCCGAACTGTCACTACTATTCTTCCTCTTCTTTCCTTGATTACTGTTTCCTTCATCGTTGATGGAAGCATTTGACAATGTATCGATTTGCCCGCTAGTATTATTAATTATATCGGGTTGGATTTGAACCGGGGGACACAATACTCGTCTCCACCCCACCCCCATTGTGAGTGGCCAAAATATAATCTATCCCCACCCCACATAAGTGTCGGGTCTGATAAAATCCGCCCCATTCGGACAAGTATGGGCGGCTCTCCGCGAATTGGACTAAAATAGTCATCCCTAATGTGGTGCAGATTAAATTGATGAACTACGAGTGAAATGAATTTTTGTTTCTAGATACTGAGTAGATAATTTTGAGTTTGTAGTATTACTATTTTCCGAGATAAGGGAGGGTAGGAAAGGAGAAATTATTGGGTGCTCTTAGAACACCAAGTCACCATTGACTGATGGTGCTCCAAGCCAATCAAAGTGCACGCCATACAAGACCTTTGCCAGTAGATCTAAGAACTCAGCATCTTATCTCACCATCTTTAATAAACTATTAATTGACTTTCACAGGAACGGTCACAACCTAGGTTTGGAATAGATTTGTTGTGATCCACACTCGTCTCATTTTATATCGGGGTTAGGACTAATCGGAGAATGTCGATGGCGTAGCAGGTGTGAAACAGCTGACGGGTTAATTTGATAAGTTCAATAATGAAAATATTAATAAAAATTATATGTACTATTGTATATTGTGGAAAATAATTTATACTTAAAAACAATTATAACATATAAGATAGAAAATAAATTAATAGAAATTACTATTAAGTATAATATTTTGGTGTTTTAATTTTACTATAGTGAAACAAAAATTAAATTATATATATTCTACACATAAATATATTTAATAAGTATACTTGGGGTGAGGCCGAATAGAACAGGCCGGGGAAAGAAAAACCCGTCCCCACTCCACTTCCTCAAAGGGGCTGAAAAAATCTGAGCGGAGGGGGGCAGAGGATGCGGGTACAGAGCGGAAGAGGAGAACACCCATTGTTGTTGGCTAGGATGTTCCAGCAAGGTTTGTTGCTTGTTAGGCTGTTACCAGATGACTTGGATGTGCACAACTTTGTACCTTGCAAAACACAAAGATAATAGTGGGCTGTTTGTTCCAGCTTTAACAATTCCAATTCATCATTAACAGGGGAAAGCAAGTGATGAACTGAAAAAAAGTTTCACATAGTGAAATTGTTGCGTTTGGGGGCTACACTCGGAGGTTATATTTGGTTGATTAGAATGGTGCTAGATGGGAATGGATTGACGGTTGGAATGGATTTGGAATAGGATGAGATGGGAATAATCATTTCTATTCCGATGTTTGGAAATAACATAGGAATCAATGTAAGAATGGAATTGCCATTCCAATTCCTATGTAATGATGATTGTAATGGAATGGAATGAAATGAAATTTGTAATAAATTGGCCAATATACCCTAATCTTATGATGTGGTGATATTGCAATGATGATTGGAATGGAATGAAATTTGCAATAAATTGGCCAAATAC